CGATGACATGTTGATTGTTGGTCATGACATGAAAGAGATTGAGCATTTGAGAAGAGAGTTGAGCAAGTCCTTTGAAATGAAGGATTTAGGCCCTACAAAGCAAATTCTTGGCATGAGAATTACCCGTGACAGGAAGAATTGCAAATTATGGTTGTCACAGCAAAAGTACATTGAGAAGGTATTGGAAAGGTTTAATATGTCAAATTCAAAAACAGTAGGCACTCCACTTGCAGGTCACTTCAAATTGAGCTCTATGCAATGTCCTACAAGTGAGAAAGACAAAGAAGAAATGGAGAATATTCTGTATGCATCTTCAGTTGGTAGCTTGATGTATGCGATGGTGTGTACACATCCAGATATTGCTCATGCAGTTGGCATGGTCAGTTGTTTCCTCTCTAATCCTGGCAAAGAACATTGGCAAGCTGTGAAATGGATACTCAGGTATCTCAGAGGTACTTCTGGAGTTTGTTTGTGCTTTGGAGGTGGTAAACCTATGTTAGATGGTTTTGCAGATGCAGACATGGCTGGTGATGTGGATTATAGGAAGTCTACTTCTGGTTATATGATGGCTTTTGCAGGGGGAGCAGTGTCATGGCAGTCTAGATTGCAGAAATGTGTTGCTTTGTCTACTACAAATGCAGAGTATATTGCCGCCACAGAAGCTGCAAAGGAACTCTTTTGGATGCAGAAATTCCTACAAGAGTTGGGTCTCTCACAGGAGAAATATATTTTATATTGTGACAGTCAGAGTGCAATCCATCTCAGCAAGAACTCGACTTATCACTCAAAGTCGAAGCATATTGATGTTCGGTATCATTGGATACGCGATGCGCTGGAGATGAAGCAATTTTCATTAGAGAAAATCCATACTGACGAGAATGGTTCAGATATGATGACAAAGGCCTTACCTATGGAGAAGTTCTCTACTTGCAGAAAGAAAGCAGGTTTGATCATCTATGGTCTCCCTTTAATTTGGTGAGGGGGAGAATTGTTGTGTGAGTCACCAAAATATATGAGCCCATTTAATCTTATTATTATTATTATTAAAAGAAAAAAAAAGGATTAGCTTTGTGGGCCAAAGCCCATGAAATGGTTAAAGGGTTTTAACCCTTGGTGTGTGTGTGTGTTGTTTTTTTCACGAGACAGAGAAAAGAAGAAAAAGAGGGGCAGCGGCTAGCATAGAGGAGAGGGATAGAAACTGATTATTTGGCATATGTATGGTACTGCAAAAGCTTTCTGTTTTGGGTGAAATCACAGTATCTTGATCCTGTCATTGAGCCGATAATATTAGTATTTTTATTCCGGTGTTTTGCCTTCTCTATGGTTGTGCTGGAGTACCCGTTGAGGGATTAGTTGATTTGATATTCACCTTGTACGGTGAAGATTATATTTGCTCAGTTGATTCCTGGTAGTTCCAGGAGGACTTGTGGTGTACCCATTAATTTATTAGTGAAAGATTTACTGGCTTGGTCCCGTGAATTGTTTTCTCTTTAAGGGTTTTTTTTCCCACATTAATAATTCTGGTGTCTCCTTATTTTATTTGCTCTATTTTGTGCTTATTATTGTTGTCTGAGCAATTTGTGTGGAGCTTATTTTAATTGCTCACAGAGGAAAAGTTGATCCAGGAGCTTCCGCATTTTATTACTATCTTATATATATTTGCTATCTTTCCCAACAGTATCAAAGTAGTCAGCACCCTTAAATTTAGTGTAACCCTTTTCAATCAGTCTAGCTTTGTTCATGTAAATACGACCATGAAAAATCAAGCATTAAAATTCATGCTCATTATCCGTGTGTAATTTTAATTTAGAAGAAAATTGAGTATCAATAAAGTAAATGAAATTTATTAAGTGTTTCCTAGTTTCACTTTTATGTGCCATAAAAGCAATACATGTAAATCTAGTGCAATCATCTACAAGAGTAAGAAAATATTTATGATTAGTAATAGAAGGTATGTAGTAAAGATCCCAAATTTCAGCATGTAAGAGATTAAAAGGATGATAAGAAATACTAGTACTATAAAAATAAAATAAACATTTTTGCTTAGCTAAGTGACAAAAATGGCAAGGAAAATCTTTATTGATATCATATGAAATACTAGGACATTGTGAAGCAAAAATTTTATGAATAGACTAAGAGGAGTGGCCTAATTCCCTAGGCCAAAGACTTGAATAATTATTAAAGACAATGTTACAAGTAATAGAGGAAGTATGAAATTAATAAATAGCATGAGCTTTGAAAACATAGAGATAGGAAAAAGCTATGGGAAACTTTCATTCCCAAATAAGTGTATATGATAGCTGAATAATTGTTCTAGATTTTACATCCATTCTTTTTATGCTTTTCTCTCACTACTTTTTTGTTAAATAGTTTTAACATTGGTAGAGTATCCTTTAACAAGTTTCTATATAATGAATTTTTTGTACTTTTTAAATTGCATGTATCTTGTATAAAGTTAATTTTTTTTCTATGATACATACACAAGTATTTTAAGAGTTCTAATGTATATTTTTTGTGTTAAAAAAATCCCAAGTGTTCAAATAGTAAACCAAACTCATTTTTAAAGGTTTCAAGGAATAACATTCCTATTATTAAATTTCTAGAAAAGTTATTCTCGAATATAATTTTTGCATCCACATCAAAAAAACACACGAGATGTAAATTTTTATAAAATGCGTTAAAAGTTCATATTACCTTGATGAAGTTAGGTTAGATCATCTCAAAGATCTAAAATATTGAAAATGTCACTCCGAAAAAAATGATTCTCCAAATTCTTCCATACAACGTGAGAACTATGGGTCCATAAAATTGATTGAATAGTATTTTCTAAGATCGAACATTGAAGTCAAGATAGAGCCATGTCGTTGCAGCGAAGACAAGGATCATAGATAGAATGACCAGTAGAAGGTTTCATCAATAAATCGAAGTTTGTTTTTGGAGATTATAACAACTTCCATGGCATGAAACCATGAATTATAGTTGTTGTGATCAATGGATGGCGTAATAAGAACAATTGAAGGGTTTTCATTGAGATGAAAGTAGCGAGGATTAGAAGAGTTATTGAAAAAGTCACAATATGTTAATTCAGTCATTAATGGAGGAAGATGGGGGATTGGACTAATCGAAAAGGAAGAGGATTAGGGTTTTAGGGAAGAGAAAAAAGAGAGAAAGTTAAGAATGAAATGAAGGAAAGACAAAAAGGAAAGAAAAAAAAAGATGGGATTACAAAATGGAAAGAAAAAAAAAAGACAAATACTGTATTGAAATTTCTACAATACCTAATTAGTACACTCCATTTATCCTAAATTATAAATCACTTTGAAAAAAAATTGACTCAAATTATAATTCACTTTACAATTTTAATATTAATGACATTTTTCCTAATATACCCTCTATCATTTATTATTTTTCATATTTTCTTAAATTTTTCTCATATATAATAAATGAATGATAACTGTGTAAAGTCAATGCATAATTTCTCTTTCTCATACAATATTAATTATGTTTATTAATTTGTTTGAAAGGTTCAATCCGTTGGATAATTTGGGATAGGGGAGTATCATATTATTATTGAAAATTTTGACTTATCCATGAATACAAAGGTGTATTTATACGGATAAAGAAACCTGCACAAATAAAAACAACTATTAATTATTACATCATTTTCAAATTATAAGACGTTTTGTCTATTTCACACGAATTAAAAAATTTAATTATTGTTTTACGAAAAAGACATATTATATATGATATTACGGTAATACTTTTCATAATTACACATGAGAGAAAAATTAAAAGAATTGAAAGAATAAATAACAATAAATACTTAATGATATATTAGAAAAAATATCGCTAATATTATATTGAGAATGTAATATAACTTATAGTTTAAAATAATTTTTTTTAACAAAATAATTTATAATTTGAAACGGAAGAAATAATAATAAATTATGGAGTGTTTATTTCTAGTCTAAAAATTACATTTTAGAGAACAAATAGTTAAGAACTAATTATATCCATGTTTGTTACAAGGTTAAAAATATTATTCCTAGAGACAAAATGTTTCAAAAATAAATAATCTCCAATAACTTTCACATTTCCATAATTTTATTCTCATGGGAAAAGATGGAAATGCCGCTTGCCATAAAATTTTATATTTTCTTAAAAAGAAAATATAACTATCAATATTCATAGAAATATTAAATTATATGTCAAATACTTCTTTTTTTAATTATATATTATTTTTAAAATTTTATTTCTGAATAATTTACTAGTATTTCTAAAATTATTTATGAATCTTTAAAATAAACGCTTCATTAAAGAATTTTTAAATTGTATAAACATGTAGTGTAGACTCAACAGCTATTCAGTCGATATTGGCATAAACCAAACTTTGACCACATCGAAAAACCTTGAAACACTTTCCCTTTCCTTTAGTTCTAGGAAAATCACTTAGATCAGGTATTATAGTTCAAAACTTTATAATTATCTTGGATTTAATACTTATATTTCAAGTAAATTTAAAATTTATATAAGATTTTAATTTTGATACACTTTTAGTAGAAAGTTTTTCTAAGGAAATCACAACTAATCATAAATATAGTTTTATGAGAATTTAAAAATTAAAAATGAAAGAGTATAAATTATTTGAGAAAATATCAAAACCAATATCCTCATCTAACGTAGTACAGTTGTTAAGTTGTTCCTACGCGCAAACATCATAGCCGCCAAATTTTACATTCAAAACTCTATCCACAAATGTAAGATATGCATTTCTATTTCTAAACTCCAACTACCTTAAGAATAGTCAAACACCTTCCAAATGTCAAAACCACTTTCCTTTTTTCATAAGCAAAAAACCCGTGCGCACATCAACTTTATGTATTTATATGCCACCAACCTTTGTAACTTCATGTCATACAAAAAATCAAATTTTACTTCAAGGCTTCAATTGTCATCATAGTCAAAGGTTGTGTTCCTGAAAGAAAAGAATAGGAGAAGCAATGGAAGGTTTGATTCCATATCTTATTCATGCCATCAAGAAGCAGAAACCTCATCACCGTAGCTTCAACAGGAGTGTCTCTCATTCTGGAAGCATAAACCGTAGCTACCACTTGCTATTGGAATCTGACTCCGCCACAGGATCTTCTCATAGAAGAACCAGATCTGATTTTCAGCAACCCACAAGTGAGTTCTTGGAGCATAGATTTGGTGTTGATGGAGTTTTGGTTAGCCCCAGAGGCCTCACTGTCACAGCTCTGCCACCTACTACTGCTAATGCTACAGCTTCTCATCATGCTAGCCAACAACCCTCAAAGAATTTCAACAACATTCGCAATCACAAATGATGCTCAACTTTCCATATTTTCTAAGAATATTTTTTGTGACTTTTAGATTTTGTATGTCTCTTTTCATGGCTTGATTCATTTGTTTAAAATAATGGGTAAATCTCATTTGTCTTCTTGTGTATAGTTTATTCCTCTGCTATTGTAATTTGTAAGCTTACTTACCTCTAGGGGATTAACTGTAATCAATACAAACTTTTGTGTGCTCGAATGAAGGTTAAAATATTTTAAGAGGAACAATTCTCTTTTCTTCAATTATGTCTCCAAAACTATGATTACTAGTTTACTAAGATATAGTAAAGGATTTAGTTTTTAATTCTTTCCAAAAGATATATCGATTCAAGGATTCAATTCTTCAAATACAATTGTGTCAGCATCATGTTGATAGTTGCTTCATTCTTTTAGTTACAATAACTGGTATGTATTTATTTATTTTTGGAAGCAGTTACCTGGTATTTTCATTACAATCGTAAAGTAGTTTTTTTAAAATGAAAACACTTTCAAAAGGATTGGGATGGTTTGGGGGAGAAGAGAATAGAGTTTATGCTCACATTTTTTTGGTACATAGCTCTTAGCTTATTGAGAAAAACAGTTGTAATATATATTTGTCAAAATTGTGTTACAAATTTAATAAGAATGTTGTTGAAAACAAGTCATTAATGCAGGTAAAAATCAGAAAATGGACTATCTATATAAAAAAAAAGTGAGTCTAATAAGTAGAGTTGGAGGGAGTAATACTAAAAGATGTCCCAATTCAGGATACTTATGTATATCTCGGGGATAATCATGCTAACCTATTTGCAAATTGATGGCTTGCAATTAACAGACCCAATAGCTATGCTGAATTTAGCAATGGCTTGATATCATAATAAGCAGTTTGGCAGATCAAGTGCAATACATGCCATAAAACTAAAATATGTAAACCAAAAAGATAAAGAAATCACAAAAATTGGTAATCTTTGGAAATTATCCCATATGCTCTGTGTTGAAATAATGATTTAATTTCTGAAAACAACCTTAACAAGCTTACCAAATACTGTCTACAATGTGATATTAAGAAGCAAGGAGTGCTTCCAGCTTTGCAATCTGATCATCCTCATTCTTTGCAATGGGATCCTTGTTAACCTCTTGATACAAATCATGTTTCCACTTCTCTGTTTGAGTCTTAACAGGGTTATAATCTTGTCTTCCATTAAATTTATCTCTTCCTCTGTAACTGCTATTGCCTCCATTTCCACCATACCTTGCTCTTGATGAAAAGACGTCCCTCCTAGCTTCTCTGTTGTTGGGTGCCCTGTCATCTGCAATTTGCTTCTCAGATCTATCCAAATGGTTAGGGTTGCTGCTTCTATCCTCCTTCCTTTCAGCCTTCTCTGAAGGATGATTGGTATGGCTTGACTTTACTGTCACTGTCCCAGCTGGATTAGCCTCTCCCGAATCCACTGGAATCTTCTTCTCCCTAAATGCTGGCCTTTTCCTCATAGAAGGTGTCGGATCGTCTTTTCTTTCTGTAAAACTGTCTCTTCTCTGAAATTTATCATCCTGTTTAGCCAATGATTTCTCATCTCTTTGCTCTCTACTTTGACTTGTCTCCACCCTTTGATTATTCTCTTTACTTTGAGTATAAACTTTTCCTGCATGGAATCGAAGAATTTAAGGTTTCAGTGCGTCAAGCCAATCTACAAACCATCCATACACAATAAAGCCAAAGGAAAAGAATATATCTTCACATAAAAATAAAGAAACTCACCATCAGCTTCCCTTTGACCAGCGCTTCGACCAACCTGCACAGTACTGCCCCGTTCATCATGCTGTTTAAAACATGAATTGGAAAGCATATATCGATGCACTTGTAGGCATGGGGCTGAACAAGAATCCCACACCCTAGAAAAATAGTTTGCATACACTGAATAACATCTAGCATATAAAAATGAATTTCCCAATCATCTTCAAAATAATCATTAAGACATTTTCTTTACAACGCTGCATATAAAAAGGTATTTGATGATAAAAACTGCAACTCCTTAAAAACCAAGGGCCAAATGAATAATAAGCAATCTCAACATTTATGGCGAAGGGTCTGAGCATTATCATCTGCAAAAGTATAGACTATTCATACAACTTTTGACCATCAAAACAAATTCCAGTCGTTTTTATTAACATTTCTGGCTGTATTTCACTAATATAACAACAATACATGGCAATCTCTTACAAGTAACTTGCCATCCAGGCTCCAGCACATGCTCTTCTCCAAGTTTCCTCCCAACGTCACTATTGTTTACTAGGTAGCTATGCACTGGTCAATTGTACATAATCCGAAGATATACAATAACTGTGAAGTCAAGTTAACTACTTGACTTAGAGGCTAAAGGTTTAATAATAATTTTGTGGCAGTTTTTGTGCAATGCTAATGCACGTGAACTCTTATCTTTGTGCATATAGAAATCATTGATTTTTTTGAGAAAAAAAACAGCCTAAAGATATAATTGGCTTCTTTTCTTCTTTTCCAATATAATGCTATAACAAGATAGCAGAATGACTGCTATTTTGATATTTTCTACAGTTTATATAATTTATACTTAATTAGCATAAAAACTCAACGAATAGAGGAGAAGCCCAAATGTTGTTCTAGTGTTTTCAATTTACAAGGTTCCTGAAATACCCCAACCAAAAAGCCCTAAAATTTAAATTAAGGATATTTTTTATTCTAATGTTCAATCTCATTCTGAGGTACGACACTTCAACATCTCTAATAACTTCTACTTTGACTGCTACACAAAATTTGCTCTCCTATTGCATGTTCTGTAGTGGCCGGGGGCTGCTGCTCCACTATTGCATGCTGCTGACAACACCCATTTCAACATTTTCAGTTTGGCTTCTTGCGCTTGCCTAACAGCTTATAAGGGAACCCCTAAACAGCATCTAATCATATTAGAGATATTTTTCAGTTTGTATTATTATCATTATGTAGTGCATTAGTTTCAGTCTTATCAGTGTCGAGCCTGAATTCTCTAATACAGTCGTAAACTGAGTCAGTTACTTGGCCTCCGTATCGATTCTAACCAACCAGTTCACATTCTCTCTCCTTTTCTTCACTCTTTCAGTTTCTAGCAAATCTAATACAATTCCATATGCAAATTTCAATATAATTAAGAGCAGAACTAGGTCTAAATGTAAACCAACATTTTATTCGCAAAAGCAATCAACTGCAAATAGAATCACTATAACCTGATAATAAGAGCGAGATCTCGACGGTTGCGACGAATGCTTAGACGGCTCAGAGTGATCAATTGGATTCGATTTCTTCAGAGAACCATCGGTAATTTCATGCTTAGAAGAACGATTTGACAGTGGAAGGTTTCTCTGTTCCCGATCCACTCCTCCTACATCATTTGTTGTCACTCTTTCTTTATCCCTTCTATGCCTCTTGGGGCTAGAATCAAAATCATTATAATCAACATTCAACAAAACGAAATCATCAAATTCAATAGAAATATAAAAATGCGATTGAAGTTTTGAGAAAATCATCTAATTCAATAGAAGAGAAATTACCTTGGTTCTCGATCGAACTTCGAATGGCGACGCTTCGAATCGGAGTCTCGATGAGACATTGTTGATTAGGGTTTTCAGCAGAAAATCTTCAGCTACAGTTTGAATTAGGTTTACGTTCTTTCAATTTCTACGTATCGCTATCACTATCCATTTTTATCCACTTTTCTACTGTTGTTTGGATGCAGTGAAGTACAGCGGAAAATAAAAGGGGTGGAAGAAAAGGAGAGCGCTTCTTCCGAGTATTATCTTGTTATATTTTCTTTTCTATAATTTTCTTCCCTAAACCAAACACAGTATTCATTTAGTAGAAAGCCATAGAAAGAAAAGAAACAAATATCAATTGGATTGTTTATTTATTTATTTAAATTTGATTATTAAAATTTGATTAACTATATGATTTTAACTAAATTTATATTTTAGTGTTGAATATTTTGGATATTCGTGTTTAAGAAAAAAAAACAAATTAATTTCTATTTTTTAAAAATCACCAAAGTCCTATTTTTAAAAATCATTTAAATAATCTTTTAGGTTTTGTTTGGTCAGGGGTAAATGGAAGGAAGGAGAGAGGAGGAGAGGAGAGAGAATATTTAATAGTTTATGTGTTTTGTTCAAATTTTAAAAGCTGATGGGAGGGGATCAAAATCTCTCTTGAACCATTTTTTGTTCTCCTCCAATTTGGAGAGGATGAGAAGTCTTTTATTTTAATTATAATTATATTTACATATTTATCCTTATTTATTTATTTATTTAAATATCAATTTAATTTATTAAAATGTAAAAAGTTCAATTTTGAATAAATTTTATCTTTTTTTTTATATATTTTTTGTATTTTTATATATTCATCTTATTATTATGGTTAAGTTTAAGGTGAGGGTTCAATTAAGTATAAGGTGCAGGTTTAATTAAGTCCCTCATCGATGAAACCCCAAACAATAACGCATAGATTAAATGGATGTTTTAGATTTAATATAATTAAAATGAGAACATGTAAAATCAATTACAGGTAATTCAAACAAGGTTTTACAATTTTCTCTCTATTTAAAGTTTTCTACCAAAAACAAGGTTTCAACCAGACGGTTGGCCGGCGAGGTCGTCAGAGAGGATTCTAAGGCTGAGGTTCATTCCAATCAAAACCAAGTAAATTTTTCGGTAAAGTTTCTAGTTCTATAATAATAATTATTATTCTCTTTTAATTTTGATCGTTGACTCTCTTTTCTGTTCAGATTCATAATAAAATTGTTCATGGTCCATATGTGCTACTTCAACATGAGTCATGTATGATTTCATTTTTTCAGTTGATTTTCACTAGCATCATAACAATGACAATGTTCCTACGAAGCGCTTAATTAAGTTGTTCGTTGTCCATCTGTGCTATTTCAACTAGAGTCATGTTTGATTTAATTTTTTCAGTTGATTTTCACTGGCATTGTAACAATGACAATGTTCCTACGAACCGAGATGCACAGGAATACAGACAGCGAGATCTATATGGGTGCTCTATTCTTCATACTAATTATAATTATGTTCAATGGATACTCGGAGTTATCGATGTTCATCATGAAACTCCCAGTTTTCTATAAGCAAAGGGACCTTCTTTTTTTTCCCTGCTTGGGCATACTTTTTGCCTACATGGATCCTCAAGATTCCTATAAGTTTTGTAGAAGTTGGTATTTGGGTTATAATGACTTACTATGTTATAGGATTTGATCCATCTTTTGAAAGGTGAGAATTTATTCTCATTTATAGTGCATTGACTTTATATTTTATACATAATTTGCTTCAGTCTGCTGACACACATTCCCTCATGGCAGGTTCATCAAACAGTTTTTTTTGCTAGTTTGTATCAACCAGATGACATCTGCATTTTTTTGCTAGTTTGGATCATTTGCTTTGCTTGCAGTGATGGTCATGGGTGGATTTATCCTATCGAGAGGTGAAATACTAACACTCTATAGTTCTGATACCATATTACTATTTTAGATAGAAGTCATGAATAAGAGAAAGGAGTGGAAAGTAAAATAAAAAGTGTATTGATAATGAGAATATTATGATTACATCAAGGGGTTACATCACTTACATAGTGATAGTTAGTAATTAACCAATAATAAACTATTAACTAACGACTAACTAAGTACATCTCTAGTAACTTGTTAGTGACGTTTGTTATCACGGTGCGTATCTTTTGTTTCAACATCAAAAGCTCATCTAACTAGTTCTTTTGCAACAATTGATGTGAAGAAGTGGTGGTTATGGGGTTACTGGGTCTCACCAATTATGTATGAACAAAATGATATAGCTGTGAATGAATTCCTTGGAAAGAGTTGGTCCCATGTAAGCAAGCAATGCAATCAAGTGAAACATTGTTACATATACAAGAACACAAATATATGACTAGTGAAGAGTGTTAATCCTTGTTTGAAAATATGTGAATACCTTTTCATTGCAGATTCCACCTGGTTCAACAGAACCATTAGGAGTCTCGTGGGATTTTCCCTGAAGCATATTGGTATTGGATTGGAGTAGGAGCTTCCATCGGGTACATCTTACTATTCAACTTCCTTTTCCCTTTGGCCTTACATTATCTTGACTGTAAGTATCTTATTTATGTCTTTATGTGCTTTTCAGTTTGTAAAATTTATGTAGTGCGCTTAATAACAAATGAAACATTTGACTGCATCATTTGATAAACCACATGCTTTAATATCAGAAGAAACCCTGACTGAGAGAAATGTTGCCACTGCTGGAGATGGACAGATGATTGGATTATTGCCTAAAAGCGAATGTTCTTCGGGTGAGTTACAAATTTTCTTACAAAAATTATTCCTATTTTAATTCATATGATAATTCAGTTTAAGATGATCGACATAATTTCGATGCAGCCAAAGGAAATGCAATTCGAAGAAGTTTTTCTTCTACGACAGTGTCAGCAGAAGTAGGCAGCATTAGTGAAACTGATCACAACAGGAAGCGGAGGATGGTTCTTCCTTTCACACCCCTTTTCTATCACTTCTGATGAAATTGGATATCAAGTGGACATGCCACAGGTACAAGAATTATCGTCAAACTTCACATGACTTTTTAAGTGGAGACTCCACTGTCTCTTAAGTCATCAACTTGAAATGTAGTGGCCATTTATGCAATGGAGCATTAGAATGAGAAACTTAAAATGTTGTGACTGTTATTGTTTTTGCACAAGATATGCTATTTTTGGATTGATGGTATGGTTATACTAAGAGCAATGCAGTTATGCTTCAAACTGCCTACTGTCATAGGACTTTGTCCTATTGAGGTTCATGTCAAGATTTGGGATTGAGTTTGACAACTTTTTACTTGTTGTTTTATTCTGAGTTGGTTTACCTTAATATGTTGGTAGAAATGAGTGATTAGTGTTTGAGTTTAGTTTGACATAGACCAATTAGCACTATCATGTAGTTTTTAAATGGCTATTTGTTCTGGCCTGGTGTCGCTACTGCGAAAATCGGCGCCGGATGACAGAAGAGTCGCCACCGTGCGTTATTTATCCCAACGGAGGGAAAGGAAACGCTCGAAGTAAACCTCGCAAAAAACGGGAAAGGTATGGTCATCGCAACCAAAACCTGGGTTCGGGAGTCGGTTACGCAAGGGGAAGGTATTAGCACCCCTCACGTCCGTCGTACTCGACGGGATCCACGCTTGCTTGGGTTGTCTACAGGATGCAAAACAATCTATCTACGGCTGCTAAATCTAAACGGGAGGGAATTGACTCGATAGAGTGTCGCACTCTATGCCTACGTATTCTCAAGAGAGAAAGTCAGAGTCAACGTAGTTCGGGACTACAGGGAAATTGGCTCGCCAAGACCTCGCGTCTTGTGCCTACGTACTTCCACACTGCATGAAAGATCAGAGCTTACGTAGTTCAGGCTAACTACGGCTAAACAAGGCATTCTCACACAGCAGTGAGAAAATAAACTGGTTTCAAAGGTACGGGAACCTATGGGCAAAACTACGGTCTGGTCTCAAATGCACTTGGGCAAGAGAGAAAAAGGGTAACAATTAATCGTCAGCGGGAAAGCCTCAATCGCACAGCCGCGAGAGAACAAAAGTCAGTTGTTAGTGTGCTCGCTAGGATATCGCATCCTATGCCTACATATTCTCGTCTGGTACGAGAAATCAGAGCAGCTGTAGTTCGGCTACTTCGGGACCACAGCTCAAATCTCGTTTTATTAACATTCTGAAAATGATTACAATGATTGAATACTGAAAATAAATCTCCTAGGAAATACTATTCTATCCTATCCATCTATAATGGAAAAAATCAAATGGAAAATAGTCCCCTAACAAGTGGACTTCTAAAATTACCTCTAAAAAATAAATCCTAAAAAATATTACATCTAATATTTTTTGCTATTTTCCAACTATCTTCTTCTTTTCTTTTTTCATGCTTCTTTTTCAAATTCTTTTTTCAATATCTTCTTCATACATTTTTTCATTTTTTTCTATGTATTTTTTTCCATTTTTTCTCTATTTTTCTTTCTCATTTTCTTTTTCCTTTTTTTTCAATATTGTATTTCTTTTTCTTTTCAAATTCTTTTTTTCAATATTTCTTTTTTCTTTCTTCTTTTTTCTTTTTTTTTCAATATATTTTTATTCTTGCATATTCTCTTTTCTTTTTACAAACTAAACAAAATGAAATGAAATAAAAAAAAAATAACGAAAAGAGAACAGGGGGGGTACATAGCCCAGCTGGGGGTGATTAAGCAGAAATAAAAACCAGACTGGGCCCAGCCCATAAGCAGCTCACAACAAAAACAGAAACCCAGGGAGGGGGTGTACGGATGTGAATCAGGGTGTTAGCTAGCAGCAACAATCACGTGGGCTCAGGCCCAGAGTCCAGCAAAAAAAACACACGGAGGGGGTGTTTGCCAAAAACGGAGGGGGTGAATCCAAAAACTGATTGGGCCTGGCCCAACCTTCACACGGACCATCTCCCTTTCCTTCTCCATTCACTCTCAGAAAAACTAAGAACCCTAAAACTCCCTCTCTGCTACTCATGGCGCCGCCACCGTTCACCCTTCATCCG